AGGGCCAAATAGACAGCATTTTGAATTTCAGCCTCTCGTGGCAGTTTTTATTATGACTTAACTATGCCGGACTTTGGACTCCAGCCCGACTAGGCAATAAGGACCCCTTCCGTTAATGTTATCTCAGATGGTCTAGTTAGCCCAACTCGTGTATGGAGACCAGGGCCTTGTGATACAGGCATTTATTGTTTTGTTTCTATGATTCCGATAACTAAATATTCTTGCTATGTACAGCATGTCAGTAGCTGGGATAATCCATGTACTGACAGTCTACGGCCTGTCAATAGCAGGAAAAAATCCCGTGGGTGGTCGACGCCATCTTGGTTTGACGGCATATTATATAGAACCGCCGCTCGTGCCAGTGCCGCGAGCCGCGGTGGCATGTTAGGCGGTTTTCCATACCGGCTCGTGACGCGAGACCATCCCAGATGCCGCTTTCTAACAACTTGTCAGAGAAGGCGGGGCAAGTCACCATAAGATAATCACATACTACACAATTAAAATTTACCTGGCAACTTCCAGCTTGGTGGACAACACTTACGTCATAGTCACGTGAGTGCAAACGCCTATACAGGCCTCTACTCACCCATAGAAAACGTGATCATTTCCTCCCTCCTAGAAAACTTGCCGGAGTCGTCCAGGAAACGGGTCGGGTCAAACTTGTTTGGTTCGGGCCAGAGCTGTGGGTCGTACAGCACCGACCAGAGGTTCACCTCCACTCTGGTACCCTGAGGGGAATTAGGATAATATATTCTGTCGAACTAGAGTTACTCTATTTGTTGTACTCGGATGGAAGGTGAACTCCATATTAAGGTTTTTGCTATCAATGTTTAATGAACTTTTGACTTACGTTGTATGTTTACGGTGCAGTTGTATGTGACTATTTCTATAAGGAAACAATTCATTCACGGCGTAAGTCTACGTGACTCAGCTCGAATGAAACTTGTATATTGAAAACAAAACATTAGCAAGAAGAAACGCCAGATTTCTTATCTTGATATCTCAAAGCCTATTTACTTGAATAGTCTACCTGCACAAAAATCGTGCAAAGTAACCATTGAAGTTCGTAAGAAAATTAAAACTCTACTACTGGATCAGTTAACGGATTTATTTCCGGACGTTTCGAGTGACATCCATCACTCTTCTTCAGCGTCACAAATGAACAGAGAACCGATTCACTCTTATATACAAGTAACTAGAAAAACCGGTTAAACAACAAGGTCGGTAAGAAGCTTTATCATGTAAAAGAACGGTTCACTCAATGTACAGGAGTTAGAACTAGAAAAACCTGTTCAAACGTCCGGAAATAAATCCGTCAACTGATCCAGTAGTAGAGTTTGAATTTTCTTACGAGTATCGTTTACCTGGATGTCTAACCTTCATCAACGTAACCATTGAAGTGTTCAGAAAATTTCAACGCTTATTTGAACATATCGCCATTGTCTTAAATTGACCTGGTGACCTATTTTCATACAGGTAGTATTTTGTCATGTTTGTGTGAGCAGGACCCTTGTTCGACATGACTAAAACTATATGAAACACAGAGATATGGGAGCAACTTTGCAGCGTTACATCCTGACCTACCTTGGGAATGTGGTAACCTCTGAAGAATACGTCACCGGTGGTGAAGTGCCGGGTTGCCATTGGAGCGGTTGCTGCCATCCTACTTATTTCACTTAAGGTGGCCTCTGTGTAGGGCATCTATACCGGAAAAGGGAATATTTAAACTTTATCACCTTGTCATCAGTAGTCATGTATTACGATCGACTTTTGTAAAAAAAAAAATTCAACGAAACTTTGACAAGTCAGAGACGACCATCAACACGGATATACGACAACATTTCCTGTCGCCGCTGCAAGAAATCCACGACTGTCAGAAGAATGTCCTCTGCCGGCTCTACATGTACCATAGCCTTGCGTAACGTCGCACGGCACTAAGTACTGTGCCTTTACCTGGCTGCGATGGTCCATGGAGGGGTCCTGGTCGGGTCCCAGCACGCTGTCTATCTCCTGCTGTACTTTCTGCTGGATGTCCGGGTGGAGGATCATGAACAGCACGGCCCAGTGTAAGGTGTTCGCTGTGGTATCAGTCCCCGCCAAGAACAGCTGGCGGACGATCTTTGGAAAGAGAAACAGCATTCAATATTCCGTTTGTGCAACAAGATACTTTGTACAGTGGCATCATCGTCTATGTTGTAATCTAGATCTTTGTCTGCTTGCTCTGTTGTCCTAAATGTGTTAACAAACGGGCCGCTGTAAATAGCCATTTTCCCATAATACCGGTTTAAAATGTATGCCGTTGAATTTACATTAAATTTTTCAAAGTTACTCGTTAGTTAGTTAGTTAGTTAGTTTGTCTTTACTTACTTCTACATGTTGCTCTTTGGTGAAGGTCGAATTCTCGTCTCCCTCTCTCTTTTGAGTCTCCAGAAGAAATGCGTCCAAAAAGTCCCTGATGTCATTCGGGTCAAACGTTTCCTTGTGCTTCGCTATTTGCTCTCGGATGTGTGCCCTCAGCTTCAGCTGGTTGTCGAGAAACCCTTCGGAAGCCTTCTTCAAACTAGGAATGATTCTGGCCGCCGGAAAGATAATCGGCAGCATCTGATGGCGCTTGATACTGAACGTCTCTTGGATCATCTGTAAAAGCTCTTTCCCCTTGGGATCATCGTACTCGTAGCGAGAGCCGAAGACGAGAGAGGAGATGACATTGCAACTCGCGTTCTTGAACAGCCTAGAGATGCAGAAGGCCTGGTTTTCTTTCTTTGAGATGACATCGCTGAGTGCTTGGGCTTCTTCCAGAATCTTCCCCTCCATACTCCTCTTGTCCGACCCCGAAGTCGCGGAGGGCAGACATGGTGAACTTCTTGTGCTCTTTGTATCGAGGAGTGTACGGTTCGAAGAGCAATCCTTAAGAAAAATCAATAAATTAGAAAAATTGAAAATGTTCTCCAAATATTTTGCCCTCCATATTTGAAGAAATAGTTTTATCGTTTATCATAAATTGCATGAAAAAAGGGGCCATTTTCATGCAGTTTTCAAGACGAGAGGTGAGAATGACTGGTTGGACATCAAATCAGGTCAGTCGCGCGCATGGTGATCAACAGGTATGTGCACTGGATATTTAACTGACCCTCGATCTTATGAGTGTGTCTTACAGAACAGTCTAAGACTGAATCATAATCATAACGCATATTATAAAACATGGCCTGTTCCAAGTTTGTGACATGGAACCCGAAACTAACAACAAAAAATTTACTATATTTGGTTCAGATGTCCCGTCTTTGAATGAACCCCCTTAGTTTCTACGGTTGAGCTACGGCTGACCTGTTTCTGAACTCTTATAATTAGTCTTACCTTTTGCACTCTGGTCCGGCGACCCCAGGACAGGGACGGGCGGCCGGCTGGAGAAAACGTCCGCGTTCGTCACCAGAGCCTCGCGGATGGCGCTGAAACCGTTCAGAACAACTCTCGGCTGGCTGAACGCGTAAACGGTGAAGACGTCCCCGTACTTCTTAGACCACTCCTGGAAAACCACTGGGATATCCTGCCGGGTTGAAAACATATCTAAAGTGTCATGGCTTGACGCAATCTGCAAATAGTTAGAAACCAGATAAATCAAAGCAATAATGTCACAGTTTTAAGGCCAAACGGGATTAGTATATATTGTCAGGGTAGGTAAGGTAGCAATTGAACATACCCAGTTTGCCGTTGTTTGCCAACTTCGTTGTGACAAAATTTAACGTTACTAAACGTGAGTTTACAAATCATGCTGATTCCACGAAGCTATCCTACCACGGGTACAAATGTGACTTTTGTGGGTTTTTGGCGGAACAACTTTAACAAATGTGAAATTATGTGACTACGCATAAACACATATGAAAGGAAGAAATTTGGGAGGAAATATCAATCATAATGGGAAGATACAGATACTCTGGACGCTGTGTATTTTGGTATCTTTATACTTGTGCCTCTGCCGTCTTTTCTCACTGCCTATTAAACTGTGCAGGAACGCTATACAGTACTCTATTGTCTCTGCACTCTGTTTGACCAATTTTCTCTCAGTTATAAATCAATCAGCCCCAGTTTTTTTAATAATTCAGGATCGTCCACATAATTTCACATTTTGGACAAATTTATAACACTTTTCAATTTTTACGCACTACTACGTATTGTTCTAAATAGAAGCTAAACAGAGGTACATGAACCTCCACTTCACGTAAGCAGAGATCACAGAGGTTACACTGACTTTGCTCATGCTGAACAAGTTGCCGACCAGTGGCAGTCCCCTCGGCCCGGGCGGCAGGGTTGTTGCTGACCGCTTCCACATCGCTGTCGTGACGATGACCACGACGGCAACTAGTAACGTCTGGAGGCTCCATAGCCAGTCGACTGCCGGTAGCAAAACACTCATGATCGACATAACACCGTGGACGTAACAGGTACTAACTCGTGTATACTGATATCTGTGTCTTCACAACTCAGGTGTGCGTGCATGTGACTCGTATGTCAGGCAGCATGCAAATCCTTATCTGGAATAGTCGATTCTAAAAAGTAGTTTTTATTTAAATTTTGAAGTCCAAACAATTTGTGGCTTGATTACTCGACTTAACAATCAAGCGACCGGCTCATTAAAATCGACTGCAAGACACAACGTTTAACGTAGAATTTTCTTACCAAATAAAACGAAACATGGAAGCATATATTTGTAACATATATAACTGTCCACCCTCCCAACATGGTAGTTATGGTATGTTCCCAGACACTAGCGTCACGTAACGGTTGAACAAAGGTCAACAATACACTGATAGTGATCACGCGAAAATCAGGGCAGTTGAGACATAACCTTTGCTGTACATGGTGCAAAAGCCATTCAACTACTAGTATCTACAACAACCAACACGCGATGTTGTTACTACCTTCGCCATAGGTTTTTAATAGGAAGCGTTTGTGTGAATGTATGTGTGTATGTGTGTATGTCAGTTTAGCACGGTACGTCAAGAAGCTATGGATGATGGATGGATTGTCATGGAATTTGGTAGGTGAGTAGGTCTCGAGGAGACCTAAGGCCACAGCAAGTAAATTTTATGGATGACATCCTCCGCAGACTCCAAATCTAATGCGAGCGGGCGAAAACAAAACAAGGCGCGCCGAAAAAACAAGGTTCCTACAATTTAAAATTTTGAATCAATCATGGTTTTGATTCAGTGGGAACATCACATATACACAGCCAGCATCACATACAAAAGGAATTAAATACATCACTGCATCAAAGTAAGAAACAAAACATTAAATCAGAGCCTTGTCTTGTCTCCTCTCTTCATAGTTATCTGGTATCCACCTTCCGGCATGGCAACAGACATCTTTGCCCATTTTCGGCATGTTGACCACTGTCAGAAGGCAACAAAATTTCTTCTTTTTTTTCTTCCAAAATCAGACGAAAATTAATGCGCGCGCTGATGTCATCCATAAAAATTACTTGCTGTGGCCTAAAGGACGAAAACTGATGCGCGTAAATGTTATCCACATAATGATGTCTGTGGTCTAATTAACGAGGTATGCATAGATCGAGAGGATTAGAAGATGTTCCCAAGCCCCCTCATACTGTCAGATTTGCTACGAATTTCCTTAAAATAGCGATTCCCCAGACTTAGAGGTTTTGGACATCAAGGACAACAAGCTTCTAGGGCCTGACCAGTGCCCGCAGTGGCAGGGCTACTGGAAACTTGATGTAGACAGCTAGGGGCTTGACCAATGGAAGGGCTGCTAGAAGCGATGTAGTTAGACTAGTTCACAGCTATTTCCTCCACTGCAGTGCGATGTTTGTGATGACGTATGAAGGCATGCCTCAGGGCACCCCGAGTCAACAGTCCCAACCGGTCAGGTCACTTCTGTGGCTCATCCAAGCTCCCTTAGCACAACAAGAATTTTCCTGAATCAACCAAAGAGGTAGTGCGGGCACTATGAGCTATACAGAGGCAAGGTCTTCGGTATTTTTGCAAGGAACGTTGGAGTGTAGATCTATTTTTACAATAAACATTCCACAAGGACGACGTTTTCTTGTGAATTAAGATTCATAAATATGTCAGTTAGCAGTGGCTATGTGGTCTTTGACAGCAGGGTCTCATATGTGTCTTTCGCAAAATGTTGGTCGTTCCTGAAATATGTTGACCGCCGAACTTGCGGTTTGGAGTGAAGTTAATCAAGGAGACGCGTACGGTTGGCCTGGTACCAAGTTCTGCAACTCCCATCCTTCCGCTTGTACTTCAGTCCAGGTTGGTTCTGACCACTGGTATATATTATTTGATCTCATTGCGATTCTTTTACAGTATCATTTATCTGTTAACTATTGTAAACTCAGACACAATTTGGCCAATGTGTTGTTGTTTTGTGGCGTCAACAAAAATACTATACTGATGTCATACATCAGTAGCCATCAGTTCGCTGGGGCCGGTAAAATACCCCAAGCCGACCTGTAAGAATGGCTACTAGGCTAAAGAAAACAGGCGACCTGTAGATACATGTACACTGTGTTCAATAACCGGTTTCGATTAGCAACTACCGTTGCGTAATCAGAAATTTGTACGTAAGGACAGTGTTTTAATGAGCTGTAGAAATCGTTGTCTATGCAAGTGTCAGACCTTCACACCAATTCGTACACTTTCACCTTTCGAGGCCAGACATGACTAAAGCTGCACACGTATATGACTCACGATAGACTCACTCCCGGCCTTAATGGCACACCCAACCACGTCACATGTCATGTAAAAGATTAAGAGCCTTGGCGTCCGTAAAGGAATCACGAAGGCTATCATAAATTGGATATGGAAACAGGGAGATTCCAAAAAGTATACATATTTATGCATATATCTGTTCAACAAGGGTTTGTCCATTTTGCCCAGAATTTATAGAAGATAAATACATGTATCACGATTTGGTTGTATTTCTCCCAAATATTTTGATATGTGTAATTCATTATAAAATGTTACATACATTTTCTTTCATCTATCTTTCATCTTTTCTTTCGTCTATCTTTCATCTTCGATATCAGGCTTTCTCTCAATGAATTCAAATAGCAAATTGAAGTACGTATTGGAAAATAACAATCCATGCCTTGTACATACGGGACAATATTTCAAAACAGCCCAAACGCTGGAGTCTTTTGTAAGAAAGCTTGTGGTATGTTTGCTGATGAATAGCAGTAGATTCAATTCTTTGTTAAGTTTATCATCTACTTATTCCAGTCGACACCATGACCACCATTGGAAACATGCAGACCTTCGAGGTGGTGATGGACCGTCTGCCGCCCGTGTATCACCCGGGAGAAGTGGTCGGTGGGGAGGTCAAGTTGGAGCTGAACCAAAGTATGAAGCTCAAAGGCAAGTAAGGTCGTCATCGGCGCTCCACTTCAACTAGGGTCGGTAGATTGGGATCCTCTCTTTTTCTTTCTACCGACACAACTTAGCTGCATTCATACGCTGTCAATATTGTGTAATAAGTTAAGTTCAACTTGTAATGTAATAATGGCCAAAATCAATGACTTTCTTTAATGTTTTGGGTTATCAGATTCCACAATTCGCGAAGGATGAGGTTGTCACTTGTATTCAGTTCTAATACTACCGCTTCGTGTCTGCAGCGATCAAAGTGATCTTCCAGGGGCAGGCATCGGTGGAATGGGACGAGCTGACCTGGACAGACATGCCCAAAATGGCGGGAACGGAGGTCTATCTTGAAGAGACCAAGACAATTTTCAGTGCAGCAGGAGGTAATGACTACTAGAACTATAGTTAAAGGGGTTTCTGATCTACTGGCACGACTATGATGTACACAAACGTTGGATATTATGTAAGTACAGTTAAGCACCGTATGGAAGTAAGTGGGTGGTACGTGTAGAAATTCAAGAAGTGGTTGACTGCATGTGATACCATATCAGATTACGCCATACAATCCCCTTAGCGACAGTCCCAATATATTCATAAAAACCCCATACACTTCGGAGGTCTAAAATCTCCGCTTTATTGCTAGTAAATGTTGGAGATAATGCGGTATACTTCCTCGCTCTTTCAGCCTTCAGCAAAAGTCTACTGGGTCCGCTGGGATCGTCCCTAAAGAAAGGTGCACATTCCTTCCCGTTTGAGTGCACCCTCCCAACAGACGTCCCTCCGACATTCAAGGGCGAGTTCGGTACAATAAAGTACAAGGTGCAAGGCGTTATAGAGAGGCCGTGGAACAAGTCTAACTACGTGTCACAGACACAGTTCGCGGTACAGGACGTCTGTGATCCGAGTACGGACAGAGGATATCGGGTAGGTACAGCAACGAGGCTGTTTCCGTCAAAAACAAAACGGTTATCTATGATTGAAGTTAAACGACCCTGTTAATCACAATTAGGACAATTAGCGTTTCGACCAATCAGAGATCGAGAAGACAGCAGAGGAAGCCGTCCTTCACCTGATTGGCACTCCCACTAACCAATCAGGGCCTACCTGCTAATATGTGCAAACATATCTCTCCATATGGTCACCTTCAGATTACCATAATCCATGAAAGCCATAACCGTTACAGATTTTACATTAATATTACAATGTACATGAATATCATCTGCTAACATACATATCTATATTTATACTACCGCATGCCAGACGCCATCCGTGGCTTCCAAAGACAAGCAGACGACTCGGTACTGCGGGCTGGTGTCCAGGTCGGTGGAGCTGGAGGCGCGGACGGACCGCGGCGTGTACGGCCCGGGGGACCAGGTGCAGCTCACCGTGCACATACGGAACCAGTGCGGCTGCAGAATCACACACACCAAGGCTACTCTCACCCGGGTAGGTCTGGGCGTACCCTGGAAGCTCGGGGCTCGGTTTTTAATGCCATCATTTTGACTCACAAGTTAGGTTTGTGCACTTCTGGCCACTCAGCCTGCAAGGTTTCTGTCCTAGGCTCGTTGTAGTACGCGAAACCATCTCTTTAGTTGTGCCAGTAAATTCACAAAACCTCTGATACTTCCCAGAGGTACATATATGAAAAAAAAATTGCTTGTATCTCTAGGACATTATTTACCGAGGGAAGCTGAAGAGGAAGGGGAGTCGGAAGCTGCAGAAGAAGCAGGTGGCAGACGTGGTGGTGAGTACGCGGGGCCGGGGCGTGGACCGCAGGCAGAACATGCAGTGGACCGAGCCGCTGGCCATACCCATAGATACTCCCGTCACGCTGAAGAACAGCAAACTTATCTCCGTGGATTATGAACTAAAGGTTAGAAAGTCGCAATGCGGCCCAGTTTATTATGTCTTCACATCAATCAAGAACATCATATACAGATAAAATGTCCATGCTTCAACATTGTTGTCTCCTTACAGTGCCATCTGTTTATTACCATTCCGTACACGGCCGTAAATGTTGCCATGTTCAAGGATTTCTCACTACCAATGAAATGCGAAAATCATTCATGCCATGACTGTTCATCCTTTATTACATTTTTACCACTTCAGGTTTCAGCGAAGGCATCCGACCCCAGATACGACTTGGACGTTTACATTCCACTGAGAATTTCCAACTTCCCCGATGACATGGGCTTCCCCGGTCAGCTAACAGACATCCCATCTCCTCTACCCTCCAATACAAGCTTCCGCAGCCCACGGGGGATGTCCCCTCTCTCTTCCAACACAAGTCTCCCCACCCCTGGGGCTACTAGCTGGACGTCTGATAGGAGCAGTCTGTCTCGCGACACGCGGTGGGGATCGCCAGAGGGCGCAGCTGCACAGCCTGCTGAGGCAGAGGAACGTGAGTGGAGAGCAGGATTGAACATGAAAGGGTGGCAAGGTTGTTAAAAGGTGATGTGGACTAAAACTTCAATAGACCGATCCTCACTGTCCATCATAATTAGAAAAATCAGCCAATGGGAAAACGAAAATCAGTGACTCCACCAATGAGAGAACAACATTAAGGCCATTAAACATTTCATTTTGCATTTCTACGTTTTGGTGGAGGTGGGCAGGATTTTGGGATCGGCCTATAAGCAGCAGCTCATGACGGACAGAAGCAAAAATCCTATATCCTCCTGGCCAAGGAACAAGAAATAATAAAAAAAAACATTTAACTTCATTTCCTACATCTTACATTACGTTTGTTTTAACATTCACAATACGTCTTCCTATGTATCTGTATCGGTATCGGTATAGCCGGTATAACCGCCCTTCAGCGTAACACACCAGCTTTTCAGTATGTATCAGTGCTACCAACAAAATAATGGATCATCCAAAACCTCTCTTTCCCCCTACCATGAAATAAAACCACAGTGAAAGCTAGATAACTTACAGTATCTCTGTTGCTTTCTCCACAGCTCCACCTTCATATGATGAGTGTATGGCTGCGGACACAACCACCACAGCATCACCACCCAAGAAACGAAAAGCGCCACCTGCACCATCTAGAATATGAAACATGCTATCCCACGGACTTCTTGAATTCTATTTATACGACAAACGTATATTACTTTTGTAAGGGTTCGACCATTTACTGGAAAGCACCACAATACATTAATGAATAAAGATTGATGAAATGAATGATATACTGTATGCTTTGAAGAGTAATATTTATAGATAGATGGCCATGGGAACAATGGTACATGTTTACAGGTCTGGATCACTATCACGATTGCCAGTTAGTTTCTATTGATTTCTTGTTGTCAACTACTATATTTTGTAAGCAGATATGGATGTGGTAACTACATCCTTAGCTGCTCATCCTGATCGATCATCTGTCAAAATCACATCCCACCCACTCAGCCACCCCAAACAATAGTAATGAGTCTTTTATACATGTATCAGCAAAAATCCCACCATGTGACAACAGAGAGCAACAGAAACAAGTGATTTATTTTGAAACAGTTATTGGGTGTAACGAGCATTCAGTAGGACAAGGCACTGACGGTCTACTCATACACAAACAAGAAGATCATCACACATTATCAAAATGATTTTTACTTAAGGTGCTTCACTTACACAACAGGTAGGTAAACATGATTAGTTTCAACTACTACTTTACTAGTATCTGAACTCTTTGTAAAAAAAAAGTCCTTTGTAAAAAAAAAACAAAAAATGATCAACTGAGCCATTGCTGAGATAGGTAAGGCTGTATACTGTATCCTGGAACTTTTGAGAGCGGTTGTTCCTTTTATAACTGCAGAAATATGAAATATGGACAAATAAAAAGGTAGAGTGTTGGAAGCTGGAATGTTTTATGGAATGCAGTCCACGTGAGTCAGAGTGGACAGTCAGACGAGTGTTGTTCTGTTGTCTATGTCAGTTAAATGTTTCCTGGCTTGTCCATTAAAGTGGACAATCAGGCTGGAGCGTTGTCCCGTAGTCCAAACTTTCAAAGGTTTCTCCACCGTTTGGTTGAATGTAGACAGACTGGTGTTGTTGGGTACTCTGCGTCAATCAAATGTCTCCTGGCCGATGGGCTGAGTATGAACAGTCAGGCCGGCCATCTGCTGCTGCAGACCTCCAACTGTGGCGGGCAACAAAGATTGGAACTTACATGTACCTTCAGCATACTGAAGTACTATGCACACTGAACTACTATAAGCCATTTTGGCTAACAATCCTTTATTGGGTACACCGTACAGGGTTTAGCAGCTGGGAGAAGGTGAAGATCTAGAGGGCTTTGTTGTAAATCATGGCTCCAACAAATGTTGAAAGCTAAAAGTAAAACGAAGACTGGGCCCCACATATTCTATCCACCTGAGCTACATGTAATTCACCCATCATATGCTGGGCAGGGCCTCTGCTGATTGGAAAATCAAAAGTCAGATGGAATATTAAAAAAGTTGCATATCTTTGAGCTCAGTGAATTGGCAGGAAAGTGACTAACAAGGCTGGCATCCAGACTGAACATACCAGACTGAGATTGGGGTCTCCCGCCGGTTGTCAGGTTCCTCATCTGTTCAGGTGTCAGTCCCAGGGCACCGCGCCCGCGCCCGCGCCCCAGGCCTGCCACAACAGCACCACTCAGCTGGGCAACAAAACCTGCAGGTGCAAGGCAATCAGAAATGGCAGACTTCACCGCTTACCTATACTGCTTTGCAACCATTCCAGTCCCGCAGATCAAAATCGCAGTAGCTGTGGATGTTTGGCAATGTTGCATGGCGCAATTGTACATTATGTCAAGGTAGCAACGGTGATCTGGCAGAATCCTGCCATACTAAGGGACAAACAGCCCCAAAATATATATGTAACTCTGTAGTCCTGTAAGAAAACAGCTAAGACTGATACAGGTACGTGTACTAACCAGGAGTGGTAGGTATCCGCAGTGCTTGGGTTTCAGGCACACTTGAGGAGCTGGCTGAATGGCTCGGCTGTAGGGGTGGAGGTCAAGTCAGTCAGAGAGAACACCATCGAATGGTCAACTGGATGTTTTAGGTACTCCCCTTTAACTTATGTAGAAGTACATGTTCTACTAGTGAGTGCATCTCAGCATATCAGGCAACCACACTAAATTAAAGATGTGTACATGTCCATGTATGTCCCATGCCTGTGCATGTACAAGTATGTCTCTTACCTGTGCATGTACAGGTATGTCCCTTACATGTGAATTTACACGAATGTCCCTTACTTGTGCATGTACACGTATGTCCCTTGCAGGGAAGGCACCATCAGAGGATGAGGCAACTGCAACACCATTGCGCTGGTCTCTGCCATAGGAAGAAGGGGGGTTGTAGGTTGGTCCTCTAGGCTGTGATGGTGGCCTCTGCCGATATGGAGGATCCTACAGGCAGAACACATGACACAACAGATATGTAGAACTGTAATATGAGTGAAACTGTAGTGTGAGACCTGATGTAGTGTATAGTGATTGTTAGCCAGGTTCACGTTTAGAGTTGGCATTATGTTAGACTTAAAAGCTCAAATAGATTGAAAGTGATCAGAAGGAAAATGGAGCAGACAAATAAAACGTACATATGCAGGCCTTCGGTCCAGAGCAAAGGCATCAGAGGGCAGGATGGTGTAGTGGCCCTTGTTCTCAGGTCTCTCGGGGAGGTGGCGGGGAGTCAGCTCCAGGCCGTACACTTGTGCCATGGAGTCACTGATAGAGAAACTACCAGGGAGCAGAAAGAACTCTTATATACTGTAGATCATGAAACATTCGCAGTGGTTTATTTTGTGGTAGGAGGGAAAGGGTGGCATTTTCAATCAAAATCAACATTATTTGTTAAATATCTTTCTTACAAAAAAAAAAATCCAATAGCCCCTGCCCACCTCCATCAAAACGTAGACATGCCAAATAAAAACAGAAAAATGAACATATCTGAAATAAATGCTCAATGGTCAAAGCACTACTTACCAGGCAATCATTGGTTTGACTGCTAATTGTGATGGACAGTCTGGATCAGTCTATTACACAATCACATCCCATAGACAACTACAAGCATTTTATGAACAAAAAGAGGAAGAGCTCACCAGAATCTCTTGACTGCTCCCAGCGCACAATGCTTCACCTCCTTGCTGGCATGGTACTCACAACTATGTACAGGCATGACAAGACAAAAACCATTGTTTTTAGGTCCCCAATAAACATACAGAAAAAAATTATCACCTTGTCAGCAAGATAATTGTCCTTTATCAAAAGGTTACTTCACACCTATTTCCTCACTCAATTCAGGTGAAAATAATGGATGGGACATTAAGCTGGAGGTCCTATGTTTGAGGACAGCCACATCTCAAGCAAGTTAACAATCACACTAACCTGACTTATCACAGAGGGTATTAATCCATAGGTGTGCCTGGATTAAACCTTAAAGTATCCAGGTTGATATCTTGAATATAGTTATGTCAATGTCATGTCAATTCTTCCACAAATGTGGTAAATCTCAAACACATAAACACACATAAACAAACACCCACCTGGACCCTTCCTCATAGTCGAAGACTGAAGTGTTCAGGATGGAGGCGATCATGCTCATGGACGGGGGAGGGCCGCTGTGGTGTTCGTACAAGTCCTGAATTAGTCCATCCAACTCGTACACTCGGAACCTGTTGTACTCCTCTGGATGTGGTACAGACAAAAACATGTCCAGAAAATTACAGCCCTTCAAGAACTGAAATATGGTGTAGGCCATCAGACTTCTAGGGGCATATCCCATGAAAGGGCTGATAAAAGCGTGAAGTAGTCAGGCTAGTTTGAACTCAAATTTACAGTGTAAAGTTATCTACTTACCAGCCCTCTCTGCCAACCAGTCCAAGCACCACTCACACATGGCAGTGTGTGTCACCTAACCCGGGAACATAACAGTTATCAATAATCATTACATGTACATCCAGACGGCAAATCTCTACCTTACTGTCTGGTCACTTCCGTCATACAATTGTCGTACTTATGTCAACTGTTGGTAGAAAATATTGCAGAGTTGTTTTTTTTTCCAGAGTTTAATGAAATAAAAACTGGTCCTGGAGAAAACCCTGGTAACACCTGGTAATTTCCAGGTATAAATCATCTTAACAAAGTACTGACCTGGCTGTAGAGTGGAGGAAAGTTTCTGCCGTTGGGGCTGGCAAAGTTGCAGAGGTCTGCCCAGAGTTGGTGGTAGTTGCCCTCAGCAAGCTCAAACCCCTCAACAGGGATCTGATGTGTGTTGTCACCTAAAACACAAATGGTAGGAGGCACCATGGCAGCTATGTTTGTTTGGGGAGGAGGAAGGGGATAACTTGAATATAATTTAAAATGTCATTCATTTAACAAACACACATGCACATCCAAATCAAAAGAAAGGTCAGCTCAAACCTATAAACCCAGCCACTCAAAACAATACTTCTGAATACACATGTATTATTTTGGGTGGCCGAGTCTATGGATTTGCCTGAATGTCCTATACTAATTGCTTCAGGGTGTGGTGGGAGGAGATTTTAACAGACCATTCATATCTAGAAGAACAACTGGAAGCAGATACTATCATAACAACAGATTTTTAGAATTAGAGTCAAAATAAGACATAGATTAGCCACTTACTGGTACTCTGGCACAGGTATCTATACCCCAGCGGTGGTTTCCCTGCGAACAAAAAACATTCATAAACACAAAGTAACATTCAATTTCACACCGGGACCCAAAGTATCATTCAATTTTGCAACAATAATCTTTGAGACAAAACATGTCATCACTTAAAAAAGAAAGGATTTTCGAAAGGTAGATGGTACCTCAGATCATACGGTATACACTGTTGTTTTCTACATGTCCAGTAGAATGCAAATGACTCCAGTGTTGTATACAGTGGTTTAGAAGAAGGGCCCAGTGAGTGAATGGAGGTTGAGTCGAAAGCTGTCCTTACCGGGTTTGATGAACCGGTGGAACTCCCGTGTGATACCGTCCTGTAGGGAATACTCCACCACTCCGATCTCACACGGCATGTAGCCCATGTTATCAGGCAGCTCACACAGCGACTGGATACTCAGCAACAAGAACTTCTCCTGAACAACACCTACACACAGGATAGAGGCATTATCACACAGAGTGACAGACGTACCTAAATATATTTACTGGTAATCAGACGAAACTGATTTAATCATCCCAACCTCTACTGGCAGAGTCTGTAGATTTCTGTGTATGTGGATATTTGCTTAAATATGTAGTCAGAACTTTTCAACTTTGCATATTTTAGATCATTGGATTGACATGAAAGTCAGGATACGTCAGACATGTACCATTTCCCGGAGGCCAGGCTTGCACAACTCTCTTCCTCTCCTCCCGACGTCTCTTCTGCATCACTTCTTCTGTGTCCACTCGGTCCTGGAGGACAGAGGACAAGCTCTCACGTTACAACAGTTCAGCAATATACTAGTACTGTCACAGCCAACACTGGGGGAGAAAAATGTGTGTCAAACATACAAGATGTAGGAACACTAGTACCAGTTACCACCAACAACATGTGACACTTTTGAAGTGAAACATTGCAAATAATCAACAGACCTTATGCAGGATTACCCTTGTGTGATTTGTGTTGTGTAAAATTGTTACAGCAGTATCACTACCCCATGTAGACCCTACCCCATCATTATCTATATGTATTTCACTTCCCTTAAGAGTGAATGTTGTCAGCAAAAATGCCAGGGGGAAAGCATGTCAAGGAAGCCAGCTTTCACTTTTTTTAGATGTGCCATGACATGAGCCTAGAATATCCCAAAGGCCCAGGTAGCCTGGCCTGGTGGACAGAACAGGGTTTTCTTTAAACCCTAAAACTGCAGGTGCCAAATAACTTACAGCTAAAGGTCTGCCCATACAGTCCAGGCGACCGCCCATAGCAGCGGCGCTCTGTTTGAGTGCCTTGGCCTGCCTATCATACGCCTGCCTCTCACTATCCGGCAGGGCCTGTAAAACAAGAGGTAAAACTCAGTAAAACAAGGCAACACCAACTCAACTTCTTGGTTCTCAGATTCACCGACTTCATCTATTTCTGATTTTTAAAAAATTAAAAACACAATACAGGTTCCATTTAAGTTAAAAAGTATCCCCAAAATGCTCATCCACTGTTCAAGAAAGAAAGTCCTTGTCTTGTTACACATTTGCCATTTATCAATGCAGTGGTTTGATTAAAAGCATTAGGGGTTATTTTTGGATTGGTTTTGTTCCTTTTTTACCCACCTGATCCTAGCAACTATATATTTCTAAATTATGCTATGTTTTTAGTCTTTCTAAATATATTATTTTAACTCATCATTCCCCAAATGTCTAATACATTCATTTGCAAACTTGAATTTTCCAACCATCATAGACGGCGATACAAGAGAAGTTCCTTCAATTTCAAATCTATCTGTGAACGAAACAATCAGCTTAGTTACAGTATCTGGCAATGAAAAAATAATGGAAGCAAAATGACTACGCCCCTGAGGCGTCCCGAAAAACAACAGTCGCCATCTTTAAAATATTTCCTGAGCGGAATTTTCTGAGAAATTCGCGACCAACTTTGAATCAGCAAACACAAACCTGGAACAGTTAACTATATAAATAAATCATTCACATACCCTTCACACATAACATTTCTATTAGGTTTATCCAAGTGGAACATTTCATGTAACGGACACCGTTATGGTAAAACTTTTCACGTACCTTCCAAGATGGGTGGGCGAGTTTGACAACATCTGCCATGCCGTTTGGCATCTGGTAGCCCTGTCGCTTGAACTCCGGGATCATCTCTTGCATGTACACCCAGAAGCCGTTCCTTTGTGGCTTGTTCTTCTTCTTCGGGGGCATCTTGTCTTCTCTGTCGCACTAGAGCCGAAGAAATTACTCAAAAAGTCTCCTAAAAAATGAGGAGGCCGCTAGCTCCCGTCCTCCGAGGCTCGTCATCCGTCTTCTTCAACTTTTGAATGGATCATACCATTAGTGCAGGGGGGATGCTACACGGAGCTGTGCATATTTTGTATTCAACGTTATAATATATTGTTCGTTTTCAAGCTTGGTGTCATCCTTTTAGTTAAATTGATATACTGTCACTAAAAGTATAATTTACTCAATGATGCTACCCGGCTCTTAGTTTGTAGATTAACGTAACAATACACGCCACCCCTTTAGGAATAGGCGAAAAAGACCAAGGTATGGTCCAAGGTCACATGTTAATTTTCGCAACATCAGGTTTGGCTAGTTTTGGCAGTTTTCCTAAAAGTACATGTAACATGATACATGCATAGAGAGGACCGCACATCAGACGTGGTATTTAACAAATCCCCATGAAAATTTCACAGTTATACATGGCAGCGTACTACAAGCATGACAAGTACGCAGCAGGCTGCAGGCCAAGGACACTGTACTATAAGTACGCTCGTATAATGCCCTTTCTTGCACCAGAGACAACCTTGCTTGCAATAAACAACGCCATAATAACGTCACAGTCAAAAAAGCGTGACGAAAAAAGAGACTTGGGCGTGAGTAATCGTGTTATGTTTGATATTACCTGAGCCACCTGTGCCACTCAATATATTATTCTCATTTATGAGTTATTAAATAGAGTACAATGTTGAACTTTATCCCAACACAAGACGCAAAAAGGTACACAAGGATCGAATTTTCAGCGACCACTGTCGCCTTCATCACGGAAAACCCGCGAAAGTTACGGACACGTGACTTTACGAGGGATCACTGATATTGTTTACATCATTGACGTCGGCAAATTATCGAAGTTGCAGTCAACCTGTAACGTTAGAGTTTCTACTAGTAACGTAACTGCTCTTGTTCAAGAACACAGCTTGGAGAGCTGCATCAGAACCTGAGCAAAGTCCTGGATTGTGGGTCTCCGGTGGACGAACTACAAATCCAAACAGCGCACAGCTGCAGTAATGGCTAACTAAAACTGACGAAGTGAAGAAGTAGAAATGTCCACCATCCAGAGAGATTTCAGCTATCCGGGGCCATGCTGTCATTTACCTCTAATGAATCATATTTTCGTATTGGTTTTTGGTATAAAATCCTTGTAAGTCTTTCTAAAATGTTCAGTAGATGTCTTAGCTTTTTGTCGAAGGCTCAACTTAATATTTATGACCCAGCCGATGACATGTTCACATGATTTATCTGAAGGTTATCCCTAGCTGTACATGAATGGCTTCCATCTTAGGCGTCTGATGTTTTGATGTAAGGCTTCATAGTCCGTACTCCGTCACGTGTCTGGTAACGTTACATGGTGCGACGCTGCAGTCGGCAAGCACCGTGCCTAGCCTGGTGTAGGACGTGTTTTTCCTGGCAGAAACCTGACAAGTGGCGGCATCATGTCGGAAGGGCAGCAGCAGGCCCAGGCTGGTGACGCTGTTAGTGGTAGGTACAAAATGACTAATAAACTGTACAAAATGACCAATAAACTAGTGGACATAACAGCTACTAAGTATCCAGTTACAGCTCAGAAAAGAATACTAGTAGTAACGTTAATGCTTTCAAGGGGCCCGCGTGCCCTTTTTCGTAATTCTTAATCAGGCCTTTTTAGTCTTCGTAATCTGTAGGCAGCCTCCCAAAAATCTACGTAATTCGTAATTAGTACATAAGCCGCAAAGTGTTAAGTCGTAATCAGCTCTGAGAATTTAACATAATTCGTAATCGGCGGCGAAAATTTTGCGTAATTCGTAATCACTATACCCCCCCCCCATGTAGGCTCCATTTCAATACCAAAGTTATCAACTAAGGATTGAAGTGTTCAAAATTCCTAGAATTATCGTAGAATGGAACTTGCCACAAGCACTCTTGGGGCGTTATCATCAGATTGCTTTAACTTTAAACAACGCCTGCAGGTATATGTGAATACGTAGGTTGGGTGTACAAGCTTGTTCCGTGCAATAAAGCGTGTAACTTCAGCAGTGCCGCCGCGCCGCGTGCCTACGAAGCTGTTACGCCGGAGAGCGGTTATACCGACTATATACCGAGATACATTTTGTAATTTTCTTAAGATACTTCAGGATATACAAATGACTGATGATGACGATGAAACGATAATTTGCAAAATGTAGTTAGATTTGAATCTAAGAGAAATGATGACGATTATATGCCGACTTAACATGAAAGTTCATCTGAGTTGGTAAAGTACATGACGAAAATTAAACTGTTCTCCTGGAAAACTGGAGAACAGTTTAATTTTCGTCATATATGCTGAGTTGCTGTCAAGTCAAACATTTTTGTGCTTTTTATTGAACTTATTTGTTGGTAAGCGTAGATTATTAAATGGTAAACGTAAACGTCCTACACCTTTCTAAAGAGGACTGTCCACGTTTATGAATTTTTTTCTCGAGGCACCACACCCGTACAGGAGCCTCAGACTGATTATATTCCCAATCCTGTACACGCTTCGGCAGAAGGTAAGTCGTCTATACTTCAACAAGCTTCCTGTTCTTTTCCTGCTTTGTGTTCCTCGCGCTTTGGTTTGAAGTCGACTGTTGGATTTGACAGAAACCTGTTGCCTGATGCATACTGTCAACACCATCTTAAAACTCAACTCGTCGAAAATACATGTAAAGATCTATAGTGTACACTGGTCTCTGGGCGTTTTTAAGAAATGTAGAATGGATTTATCAACTCAATTTAAAGGCACAAGTTGTTCTGCGTTATTTTTTAATGGTCTCTTTTTGTTTTCTACAAATAGCAATGGACAAAACGTGAGGTTTTCGCTCAAACGAAAAAAATCAAGGCCATGATTATACGTTGTAAAATGCAGCAACCTTGAAACATTGCGTGCTTTAACTGACTTTGATGTCTGGTGTCCACAAGCAACCGCCATACAGAAGGCGAGGTTCGTCATCCGATTTGTGAAGTTGTTGCGCATCTCAAGCCCTGTATTCATCGTGGTCGTGGCCGTGATATCGTCATATCTTGCGGGTCAGTTTCAGTTTTGCCATATAATGAATTTACTGCTTGTAACATTTTGTTGAAGTGATAGTGTTATGCAGAGCTAATCGACCGTGATGCTTTCTTTACAGTCAGATTCACTATTTTCACGGAAGTGGTAAAGTTGTCTGCTGAGGTAGGGGGACTGCAAACACGTGTACAGGAGATGGGACGTAAGTAGTTTGCAATGACTTGAATAAAAAAGATACCATGTTTCTGTATCTAAGATGAGGCTAGTAGATCCTGTCATGGTGGATATATGACTTACGGATTATTACCTTCGCCCAGAACTTAATGTCTTTGTTACTCCGTGAAGGAGGCCATGACCTCCGTCGGAGTATCAAAATCAACGAAACCTGAACAGTTGTGTGTTCGTAGCCGTAACTAGCGATTCATTTGCTGCATGGGGACGTAGTTTGGTACGTTGTCTGCTAGTATGGTCTAGTTGATGCACATTGTTCTTTTTATACCGTAGCTATTTTCTTATGTCATGTAATATTTTAGCAAAATCCCTATTCTGATGGAATGTTGGTACAGGCCATGTATTCTGTCGTGATGTGCGGTTTTCTCAAGCAGATGTGTCGATCATGGTAGTCGCGGCACTGCCGGGCGGACCGCCGAAAAATTGCCGATTTGTTCGCAGCTATACGATCCGTTGGTTGCATTGGTGTGTAGTTTGACATGCCTTTTCGTTTTTTTTTTACACCGTAGCAGTTTTTAAAGGTAAAGTGCAATATTTCACCAGGATACACTCCTACTTTTGAGATGTGGAACAGTCCACACAGCTGTTAATTACCGTGGCCGACAAGGACAAACCTGCGTCGCCTGCGCGCACACCTGCGTCGCCTGCGCGCATACCTGCGTCGCCTGCGCGCACACCTGCGTCATCTCTGCAAAGAGCTTCCTCGTCTGCGCACGACTACCTGCGTCGTGTCTGCCAAGAGCTTCCTCACGCCTGCACAGAAAGAGCTTCCTCGTCTGCGCACGAATACCTGCGTCGTGCCTGCCAAGAGCTTCCTCACGCCTGCA